AGCTGAATTTCACTTTTGTTGCAGGTTTCTGCCCCTGTAACTTAAAAAACCCAACATTTCCTAAACTCCAATCAAGGTCACATGCTATTCAAGCCACCTGGAAAGCTTTTCAATCTGCTCTTTGGATAAACCACTAATCCCTCAAGATGCACCACAATTTTAACTCCTGTGAAGTCATCTCTGATTCACTCTATCGTTCCTCCGTCTGTGATTCAACAACACTTTGAACATATCCCTATACAAACATTTACTCATTTTTACTATAGTTTCCAGTTACATGTATGAATCTACAGCTGGGCTGTGCCTGGCTCCACGCCTGGTACATAACACACCTTCAGTAAGTACTTTTTATGATTATTACTTCAGTCATCATCATCACCTATATGTATACATGTATCTCGAGTCGTCTGTGTCTATCTGTAATTAACATAGTGAGGTTACATATTACATCTCTCTTGACTCTCAGGATAACCACACATGACTGTAAAGACAGCTATCCTTAATCTCATTTTTAGATAAGGAAAGTGAGGGAGCTGAGCCTCAAGTCTTATCCTGTATTCTGTGGGGGATAAATGGGGGATAGAAAATCGACTCCCTTTCTCTGACTTCAACTCTAGCGTGCTATATTTAATTAAGTAAAAGTTTTAGAGCCACATGGTCATAAATTTACTCCTTGGAGCTCTCCTTTTATTTAAATATATCTCAGGTACAAAATTGGATCAATCATATCCCTAGGTTTATCAGTCATCACTAGTTCATGCACATCTCTGATTTTTTTGTGTATGTATTTTAATGACTAATATCCATGAATTCACCACTCATTCCTACAGCTAAAACACTGCCATTAACATCTATATCAATATGTATGCTTCTCCTTCCCCATCTTGCCAACTCTTGATTTATTGTCCACTTGAAGGATTCTTTAATTTGAATTTTTATCATTCCTTTTTCTTTTTTACGATTAGTTTAGTTTTGTTGACTTTTTCTTATTTTTGAACTTTATATTAAAAGGGTCACATTGTATGAAGTCTTCTGGAACTTAATTTTCTTAATTCAACATTACTATATTTATCCATGCTATTTTGTGTAATTTTAGTTCCTTAATTTTCAATACTTATAGTATATTCATAAAATGAAATATTAACTATTGTTGTATTCACAGAAATTTGGGTCCTGTTCAGTACTTTTTTTGCTATTATGAATAATGCTGCTATGAATATTCCAATATCCTTTTGATTATATACCTGGGAGAATTGCTGGGTTGTAAGTTATATAAATACTTAACTTCACAGGGAAATGCCAAGTTGCTTTTATAAAGCAATTGTAACAATTTATAAACCCATCAAGAAGGTAGGAGTTCCCGATGATTTACATTGTCTGCAATTACTCTCAGGCGTCTTATATTTTGTCAATCATGTAAAGTACAATGGTATCTCAGTATGGCGTTGATTTGCTAATGAGGTTGAGAGTACCTTCATACATTGGCCATATCTATTTCTTTTTATTTGTAAAACTGTATTTGTCATACAAATCCTTTGTCAGTTATATGCATTGTTAGTATCTTCAGCTGGTTTATATGTTGTCTTTTGACTTTCCTAGTAAATGACTTAACTGCTCATAGTTTACAACTGCATCTTTCTCAAAAGAGCTGTACTTGGCCGACAGCTCTGCCTCACCCAAACCCTGGGGGTCAGCTTGCAGCCAATAACTGACTAAGACACAGACACTGGAGGCTGGTCCCCTTACCTCAGGGCAAGACTTACTCTGTGGTACAATTCATGCTCCAGAGCTTCCCGCGGGATTACGCTGAAGCTCGACTCCAGCTGAAACCACATCCTTGCTCAACTCATTCCCCTCCCTATGCTTTTCTTGTTTCCCTAAAGGTTATTCCTGAAAGCAGATCCTCAATAAATTACTTGCACAAAATTTTTTCTCTCTTAGGTCCTCTTTCTAGGGCATACAACTGAAAAACTGAGATATCCTCTGATGAACACTTTTTAAATTTTGTAGAGTCAAATTTCCAGTCATTTATAATTTTCCCTTCTAAAAATCTCAGTCTTTTATATCCCCAGGGTCAGAAAGATGTCATGATCTGTATTTCCAGTATTTTTCCAGTATTAATTTTGCTTTTGACATTTAAGTTTTCAATCATTCTAAAGTTGATTTTTGTATATAGTGTCATCCAATAATTTACTGTATATGTCAATAATCATTTTGTCCAAGGTGATTTGTTAAATTCCTTCCTTTATCATGTATCTTCTTTAGAAAACTGGTGATTTACTCAACACATTTTAAAGTGCTCTTTATATATTAAAGGCCTTGCTTGGTGTTGGGGATATAAATGTAAAATGATAATACAGACCACCTCCCCCCACACTGTCAAGGGCTTCCAGTAGAGTGGGAAAGCAGAAAGCACCAACAGTGGAAGTATATACAAAACAAATTAGCATTTCCTAGGAGATAAGATTTCTTAGAGGAGGTGAAACTAAAAGAACAAGGGTTTTCTAGTTGTGAAAGGGATAATTCATGATAATTTCTAAATTGAGGAAACTTTTTTTTATAAAAGCACAGATTGTAAACCATCATACAACATTTTAGAATGCCTCCAGTTTCATACGCCACAAAAAGTACGACAGCAGGTAAGAACAGAGAAGTAGCCAAGGGTCTACTTATAAAGGACTTTTTCAATAGTGGACCTTAATTTCCACCTTGTATCTCCCAGCACACTCCCCTTCTCTTTGCAGGTGGCTTCCACTCTTGCTACTAGTTGGAGGAAATAATGTGCCCAAGGTTTGGCATAGTACTCCAGTCCAATGGATACAGAGATTGGCCTAAGTGTGGGCACGTGATGCAAACAGGCATAATCAGAATCCTATGAGATTCATGTATAGATGTTGATAGAAAGAAGTCTTTTCTAACAAAGTTGCTAAAGTGGAGCTAGAACAATCATGTTCCCTACTACATGGATAACAGCTGAGTATAGCAGTAGAAAATAAAGCCCACATTCACAGGGAAAAAAAAAAGATGAGACAGTAGCAGCATGAAACCCACATAAAGTTAATGTTGCACTGAAGTCCCAGTTGCATTACCTGAGGACTTACCTCCTACAAATCTTTAATTCTGCTAGCTTCCCAGGTTTATTCTCAGGAATATAAGGCAGTCAATTATCTTTTTTTTATTAAGCTTACTGATATTGTCTTATGTTTTCAACTGAGGGAGAATGAACTGAGACAAGCAATGACTATCTGATGGCAACAGGGGAGCTGTCAGAGGGCTATTTTCAGGGGAGTGTCATGGTTAGACTTGTCTGCTGGAAAATTTCCTGTGGCCACAATGTGGAGGGTAGATTCTTGGCGGCAGGTGGCAAGAAAATTAAGTAGAAACAAACAAAAAAAAAAAAAAAAGGAGAAGGAAACTGATATACAACAGGTATACCTAGTGATTAGCTGCTTGATTATGCCCAGCACTAGACATGGTTACATCACCTCCTTCCCTCCCTTTCACTCTCTTTAGAATAGGCAGACTATCTGTATCAAATAGTTTAATTACAGGGTTTGTTTGTTTTTTTTAGAATTCTTGAAAAAAATGTTGATACATCATTTTATTCTTGAGAATAAAAAAGAACAAAACATTTTAAAACTTGTATTTCTGTCAGTTATAAGTTAGAGATCTTTATATGAGCTAAGAGAAGACCAAAATGTTTTAAGCATTAAAATCACCCACAACCCCAACCATTAAAGAAAAATGGTTAAAATTGTACTGTCTTATCCTTAGGCTCATAAAAATGTGAAGGTACTGGTTTTTAAAAATACAATATAATTCATTCCATGTTTATCCAGATACTATACCATGAATAATTTCCCATATAAATATACTTTGAATATTCAGCAGCTACATTTCATGGTATGGATGTACTATACTGCTTAACCATTAGTTTGTTTTGGAGACTTCAGTTGCTTCCAATTTTTGTAATTTTAAAGAATGTTGCCATAATCATCCAACATGTAGATCTTTTTCTGCATTTTTCAATTTCAGGTTGTATAAATTCCTAATGGCATTGCTAGGACAGAGGTTATATACATTTTTAAGACTCTTTGCACAAAAGAACTTTGCAAATTAGACTATATGTTTTATTTCAGCAGAGTATGACAAACCTGAAGTGACAGATGATCCCAGTTCCCAGAATCTCACTGCACTGAAATGTGTGGGGCAATCAGAATTGGCTGCTCTCCTGCATTTGGGGCATAATGTGATGGACTGATTTCTCCCTCTGCAGCATTTTTGACTGATACAAATTCTTCAAAGTTTCTTTGCCATAGGAACAAAATATTCTAAAAAGCACAGAACTTGAGATTTGGAGTCTCAGCTGAATTTTTCCAAGTTTCTTTGGGGATAAAGTAGATTATGAAGTATGTTCCTTTCCTGAAGACAGGAAATGAGATCTACAGATTGAAAGCCTTTTTTAAGAACAAACTATACCAAGATTCTCACTCTTAAGGTCTCGTTTAATCTCTCTCAACAGCATTTGAGAATTTGAGTAATCTATCGGAAAACTTGCAGGTTTTGCAACCAGCCTAACTTGTCAGATGAACCCAGGTTCCATCAATTATTTGTTGTGTTAATTGAATTACCTTCTGCAAATTATTATCTCTGAATTAAAATCAGGGGGGCTATGAATGAATATCTTACCAGGTGGATATTTTAATTAAATGAGAAAATTCAGGAAAAGCAATCAGCATAGTGTGTATCTCTGTCTTAATCTGAGCCTCCCTGAGATCAAAATGTGAGGCATGCACATGGCTTATCCTGGAAGTGATCTTCCAGAGCAAGAGTGGCGGTACAGGGAGGAGCCCAGGAAAGAAGGGAAAACCAGCACAGGGATGTTACTGAGCTGTCACTAGTGCAGATGCCTGGTGCTTGACTTCTTCCCTCCCCAGAGTGTTATGAAATGCATCTTAGAACCCTTTACACCCAAGGAAAAGGGGGAAGTATTCACTCACCAGCAACCATCCACCACTAGTCAAGGAGATCTCTAGGGCATGTGTTTCCAGGTTGTTTGTCAGGGGATTTCTGGAGCCATCAGAGACACCTCCAGCAAGAGATATATATGAGGGGCAAGGTCCACTGGCTGCAGCTGCACAAAGCTAGTCAGAATTAGTCACTACAGCAAAAGTCGAGCAAATGATGGGCACAAGCAGATTTTTGGGCACAAGGATTTTCAGTGACACACAAGCGGTGTCTGTATTCGTTTCCTACTGCTATTGTAACACATTATCACAAACTTAGTGACTTAAAAACAGCGCAAATGTGTTACCTTATGGTTCTGGGGATCAGAAGTTCAAAGCGGCTCTTACTTGGCTAAGGCGGAGGTGTCGGCAGGGCTGCACGCCTTCCAGTGGCTCTAGGAGGGGCCCCATCTCTTGCTGTTGCCAGCTCCTACCGGCTGTTCTTATTCCTTGGCTCACGGAGCTCTTCCAGCAACGGCCGGGCTCTGGCTTCTCCCCCTCTCATCACGCTTCCTTCTCGAACTCCGACACACCTCCCTCCCTTTTATAAGGACGCTTGTGATTACATTAGGTCCACCTGATAATAGGTGCTAAACTTTCATCTCAAGATCATTCATCACACCTGCAAAGTCCCTTTTGCTATGTAAGGTAACATCCTCCCAGGTTTCCTGGATCAACACATGCACATCTTTGGGGAGTCATTATTCTGCCTACCATAGCGTCCAGCATAGGAATCTAATAAATGTGTATTAGGTTTTCTTCCCTTGCTGGTCACTGAGTTTCTATCTTCTCTCCACTCCACTCCACCTGACACAAATTTGAATCAAGTCGGTAGGTAGTAAGTAGCTAGGCAAAGCCACAAATTCACATCACCTGGTTGAAAATCAATTGATTTTGGAGTCCTGGCAATCAATTTATTGTTGGATATGGTCAAAAACAGGGTTGTTGATGTTGCTAGCGTGGGCTGGTGTGATGCAGAACTGAGCGAGGATGGGCCAATAATGAGAATGAGAAATTCCACCCAAAAGGCTGCACTGGAAGCCCTGACAATTTTAGATTCCACCTCCAATGTGATTATTAGTAAACTGCTTTCAATTGTCTGAGAACGGAAATTTACTCTTTTTAAGTTGCCAAAGATGGATAACTTTGACTAAAAGATAAATTTGCTGCATCTAAAACAGATCATTGTTCATCTGATATCTTGAATAAATACTAAATGAGACGTATTATTTAGCGTGACTTTTTAACAGGACAAAACTTTGCTCAGATTTTTGGTGAAAATCAACACTTGAATAGAAGATACAGGTGAAATTTCAAGTAATGGTGCTCCAAACTGAATATTTATAATAAATGTATCAGTTAAAAAACTAAATAAAATAAACATCCACATAACCACCATATAACTGCAAATAACAAAAAGAAACATGTTACCACAAGGTAGTACACAATTACACAATTCTTTGTGCCTTGACAGTTCCTGTTTCTTTCTGATCCCATTCCCTGACCTATTAGTAATTGTGTATATATTATGATATATTATTCCTTTTTTCCTTGATAGTTTTTACAAATTGTTTACACATTCTTAAACAGTATATTGTTAGTATTTTATGTAAATGGACCATATCGTATGAGTTTTGTCATTCAATCATTTACCTAGCTTCAATTGATTCAGTGCTTACTGATGTGTATTAATTCACTGCATTAGTAAACCACTATTCACTTATCCACCCTCTTGCCAACAGAGTGGCTTCCTCTGGTGGTATTTGTTGTTGCTTTGTTTTTGTTTCCCCCCTTGGCTGTTACAAACTAATGAACATGTTTGTACTTGACTCTTCGTGCACACGTGTGAGAATTTCTCTAAAGTATAAATCCAGGAGATGAACTGCTTGTTTGTCAGGTAGGGGTAATTTCAAATTAGGAGAGAATTCTAAATTGTTTTCCAAAGAGGCTGTAAAAGGCACTAACCAACAGCCATGTGAGCTGTTTTATTCTAACTTCTTACCAAAACTTGATATTAGCAGACTAAAATTTTCTCATTGTAGCAAATACAAAATGGTGTACTTTGTAAATGGTTAAATGTATAAAAGTTTATTTTCATGGTAGTGCTTTTGTCTCTTGTTTATAAAGTCATCCCCGACCCCAAGGTCACATAAGATACTCTGTGTTATTTTCTAAAATTTGATTGTACTCCTTGGAATGCGAGTCTTTAACTGGGATTGATTTTTATATACAAAGATATAAATCCAACTTAATTTTTTCCAGTAAAGATACCATTTTATCCAGTATCACCAATTAAATAGTCTCTACTTTACCCAATGTTTGCACTGCACATTTTGTGATATATCAAGTTTCCATATATTTGTGAGCTGGTTTCTGCTATTTCTATTCAAGTTTCATTTATCTATTTTCCTGCCCCTAAGCTAACACTACACTTTTAACTACTAGTGCTTTATGCAAGGATCTTAATATCCAATATGTCCTTCAC